GTGGTAAATTGAAAGGCAGCTTTCTGATGGGTCCGAACTGGTCTTTTCTGTAAACAGATAGACAGGTAGGCTTGCTACCATATTTGTTTGATGCACTTAGGTGTTATGCACCTTTTATGTATATGTTGATGCAGATCAAATCTGTAGATGTCCTCGAACTATCAAATATCAATTTTTACTGTTGTTAACTTGTCATCTACGTGTAAATTTTCTCATTGGTGTAAACTTTTATTTGACTGTCAACATACAATTCTTCACATTCCTTCTGAAGGTGGTCAAAATTTGTAAGCATCACATGCATCTGATCCATCAATGATTCAGCATACCTTTGTTATGTCCTGTGTTCATTTTGCAAATATTCCTGTTTCTCTTAAGTGCTTTTTCTTCTGTCATTACCATTGCAAGGCTTGTTCTTGAGTTGATTGATTTTTCTGGCATGGGATCTTTTGTAGGGGAACTGGAGAGTGTGGTTGCAGAACTGGAAAAAACTAACTGCAAACTGGCAGCTCTTAAAGCAGAAAAAAATGCAACCAAAGGGGCTTTTTTCCCTGTCTTAAATATTGGTAGCAACCATGTTGCTGGTGATAGGGTCAAAGATAGGGCAATAGATCTACAAGATTTGGAGTCTGTTCTCAAAGAGCTATTGGTAATTGTGGCTTTCATTTCTCTTTCCAATGTTATGGTAGTGCTTAACTGAAGGTTTTAATGAGATCGCACATGTGAGCTCAACAGGACCAATCTTCATCTCGGTTAGTGGAACTAAAAGGGCTTCATGAAGAAAGGATTAGAATATTACAGCAGTTATCATATTTGCAGGTTTTTTTTTTCTTTTTTTTTTCCTTGTGATTTATTGGTATTTATTCCTTTCTCCATTGTAAATATATTTTCAGTAATTTCTTCTTAATGTTACTTCTCAAATGCAGCTCTGCTTATTCGGTATTAAATGGGATCTTTTTATTCACAGAACAAGATAAAGAGTGTGAAATGTATTTCATCTTCTCAAGCCTACCTCTTTGTGAGAGATCAACTACAGAAGTCAAAGTCAGAAGTTCTCCAATATCAGGCTTTACTTGAGAAACTACAGGTTGTAACTGGTCGGTAGTTTAATTTATGCCTTTTCAGTTTTTTTCTTGGAGAATCTAATTCTGATGCTGATTTAACATTCTTCTTGAAAATTATAGGTTGAGAAAGATAATCTTGCCTGGAGGGAGAGTGAATTGAGCATAAAAAATGATTTAGTTGATGTTTTCTGGAGAACAACTGCAGTTGTTGATTCTAGAGCTTCTGATCTGGGAATAGAAATACAGCGACAAATTGATGAAATAAAGAAGATTCAAACTAAGATGGAAGAGGCATCAAGAGAGCCTGGTAGGATTACTATTGGTGCACTTCCTTAGTCTTGAATAATATCTAGTACCTGATGACTTCTATGCAAAAACTTCTTGTTGGAATACGTTGGTGTTTCAGGAAGAAAAGAAATAATTTCAGAATTTAAAAGTTTGCTTTCCTCATTTCCTGAGGCAATGAGTAACATGCAAAGTCAATTAAGTAAGTACAAAGAGGATTCTATGGATATTCATTCATTGCGGGCTGATATGCAGTCCCTCTCCAGTGTTCTTGATAGGAAGGTTAGTGTTCTGGAACTTATGTGGTCATGTTTCAGGTATATGCTAAAGTGTTAAAAGCATTTTTGTTCCTTGAACAGGCAAAGGAGTGCGAGAATTTGTCTGCAAGATCTGCTGCCCATATTTTTGAGATGCATAAGTTGCAAGCTATGGTATGACTTTTCAATCTTATTCTATTTTTATTCTAATATATTATCTTAACTGTGTTTGATTTAGAGAATAATTTATATAGAAAGGTGGTTGTGTAAATCAGTAAACTAGCTTCACAAAATATTTGCATTTTCCTGTTGAAATATATTGCCAAGAGTTGATGTGTCTCTAGAAATGTGTTTAGTTATCTATGACATTGAAGACAGCTTTCCTGATGAAGCCTTCAAATATATTTCCTCTAGGGTATTTTCATCATGTTCATGAGTTGTGTTTCCAGGTTATTTGTAAGTGAGGCTTTTTCCCTCTAGCAATAATGGTGGAATGAAAATTGTACACATGGCCATCATATGGCTCTAGTGGGATGTTCTTCAAATAGAGAACTGGAAATAAATAAGGAAAGGTTAAGAAAGAAAAGAAACTTTAGTGTATTACTTCACTACCCAAAATGCCAGAAACACTGATTTGATGCATGTTGCTGTACAAGCACATTGAATTGATTTACTGCTTACAATGTAAGGATACCCCTATTATCCTTACTTTCCTCCCCTGTATATGTGCAGGCAGTTTTTAATTTTAACTTGATTTGATATTTCAATTTCCCTTCACATATATCGAGTCAAACTTGGAAGTGACTACCCCTCAACTGAATTGAGTATTCCTTAAAAATTTTAGTTTTCATTTGTTATTTGATTGTCTCGAATGTGTTGGTTCTACACCTGTACCACAGAGTTTGGTTGTCTTGGGGCAACAAGGTGTAAGCGTGGAATAGAAATTTGGGGATTGAAAATATTTATGTCCTTTTATGCATTGAGATTTCCATTGAGAACTTGAAAAACACCTACTAACGAACAATATTTTGCTAGCCAATTCTTCTTCTTTTATTATTATTGTTGTTATTATTATTATTAGTACTATTATCTATTACTATATGTTTAAGAAGATGAAAAATCCATTATTCTTTTGAATTGTTATAGGTCCAAGAATTGAAGGAAAGTGATGTGGAGTTGAAGTTAATTTTGGATATGTATATATGCGAATCCACTTATTCAAGGTTAGATCATGTATTTGAAGTACAGATTATATTGTGACTTACATTATTAATTTGATTAATTTAAATTGATTTTGCTCCATGTGTTAGTTTTGAATTGTAGAGAACTTTTTTTGGAAATCTCTCTTTATATTTTTCCTCTAATTTCTAGGGTTTAAATATGAGTTCCAGCTCTTTCCATGCAGTGGTTATTTTTTGGCCTTTATGTTATTAATGTTATTTAAATTTTTGGAAGAATACTTGTTTAGTTTCTATTATGCTAGTCAGACTATGCTGTCTACAGTTCTGTACATCATAAGTTGAGTGCAGAATCTTGCAAAGTTGCAACCAGTAGTGGGGTAAACTGATTGATGTGTGGTTCTTTATATTGTTGGTTCTTAGGAATTTTTTCTGCATTGCAGGGATGTTTCAGAAGCTAGAGATTCAGAGTACAAGGCATGGGCTCATGTTCAAAGTTTGAAATCCTCTCTCGATGAGCAAAACTTGGAATTACGAGTTAAGATGGCAAATGAAGCAGAGGCTGTATCTCAGCAAAGATTGGCTACAGCAGAAGCTGAGATTGCTGACCTGAGACAGAAACTGGATGTTTCTAAAAGGTTAATGTTTGCTTGATCCTCTAAGGGTATGTTTGGTTTGAGGGAAATGGAAGGATATCTCCCTCCCTTCATTTGGATAAGTTAAAATAAATGAAGGAATTGAAAGCGAAAAAAAATAAAATAAGATAAGCTTCTCCCCTCCCCTCCCCTCCATTTCCCCCAAACCAAACATACCCTGAGGGCTTTCCCTAGTATATCTCTAGTTTCCCTTTTAATAAGGAAATATATGTCTACCTTGGAAACTTCAAATTTAACTTGCATTCTGCGCAAAGTTTCATTTACCAAAGATTAATTTATGCATCTAGTATTAGACTAGTTATCCCAGTTTTCCTTTACTTTTTTATTTATCACGGATCCCAAAATTGTGCCAAAGAAGAGTGTTTAAAAGTTTTCAATATGTTGTTCTATCTCAGGGAAAAGACTAGGTTTTCTGGTGCTTTGAGATCAAAAAGTGAAGAAAATGAGGCTTACTTATCAGAAATAGAGGTTAGTTTCTGGTTAATCTAATATGGGTATCTGCCTTTTGTAGTTTCATTAAGGTTGTTGAGGTTGTTGGTATGGTTTTTCCTCAGACAATTGGACAGGCTTATGATGACATGCAAACACAGAACCAACATCTCTTACTGCAAATTACTGAGAGAGATGACTATAACATTAAGGTAATTAGCTTATTTGATCACTTTGTTTTAGTGTTACCTTCTGTTTTTATTTGTTTAGCTTATTTTTTGCTAACGGGCAACTTCAGGAAGGCAGACCTTTTGGATTGCCCAGCCCTTTCAAACCCCAGGCCACTGAGCCTAACCCAAGGACCTTCTCTTTTTTATGCTTATTTATCATTACAGTATTTTAGTTCTGCCAGTTACTAATGAAAGTAATTGTTTTTCAATATTTTAAAAAGATCTTTGTACATTCTTCATCATTCAAAGTTCATATGGTTAGCATGCAGAACACTAAAATCCTCTCTATGGTTATCCAAACCTTAAGTTGTCTACGTTTCTCTAACTTTATATAAAGAATGACATGAATATCTATGTCAAGTAAAACCTTGGTTCTTGAGATACATGCGTTTTACCTTGTGGAAGCTGATCTAATGATTTCCAATTATCATGTTTTCAGCTTGTTTTGGAAGGGCTGAAGGCAAAACAATTGCAAGAAGCTCTACTGTTGGAGAAACGCACCATGCACAGGGAGATTCAGCTAGCCAATGCGTCTCTTGAATTATATGACATGAAAGCTGCAAGAATTGAGGATCAGGTTAGTGATGCTCCTTTTTCTGTGAATTATTCTTCAATAATACAGATCTTAAAACATGAATGCTTTCCTTGCAGCTGAGATTTTGCTCAGACCAGGTTCAGAAGCTGTCAGAAGATAGACTTCAGAGCTTTGTATCTCTGGAAAATCTACAAAAACGATTGTTGGATGTTAGACAACCATCTAATCAAGTGAGAGAGTCATTGCAGGAGTCACAATCTAAGATTGAGAAAAACAGAGGGGTTCTTGTCGAGTTGCAGATAGAGTTTGAAGAAGAGAGGTAATAGATGGTAATAGCCTTCTGCCTGTTTTGGTTGTGTCTTGTTGCATTATCAAATCTGTTTTTTCTTTGTCTTCTATTCATCTTTAAGGTTCAACAAGAAAAGAATTGAGGAGGAACTGGAAGTGGCAAGGAGAAAACTTTCATGTATTCAGGCCCAAAGGGATGGGTCATCAATTGTAGAAAAGCTTCAACAAGAACTTTGGGAATACAAGGAAATACTAAAATGCAGTATATGCCTTGACAGATCAAAAGAGGTAGACATGCAAGTTTAAATTAGTATTATATGGACTGCTTTGGCTAATGTATTATTATTCTTATATGAACTGCAACTCATGGCAATCATGTCTATAACAGTGCCTTCCGCTTTCTTTGGGATTATGTAAAGAATGTTTATCCTCTGTTTCAGGTTGTCATTACAAAATGCTACCATTTATTCTGCAACCCTTGTGTCCAAAGAGTTACAGAGAGTCGTCATCGGAAGTGTCCAGTTTGTGCTGCAAGTTTTGGCCCTAATGATGTCAAATCTGTTTATATCTGACTGAATTGGGGAAGCTCTGTTACCTGCTTCTTGTCAATGACTTAATCTGCATCTTCAGGTATACTGACAGGCTTTGGTATAATGATGCTCACAGGTCTTGATGGATCATTATTTTAAAGAATTGCCATGAATTAATGGTGATAGGAATTAGAGAATTCCTGTCCATTTACCCCATGCAAATTCACCTTAGGTTTGCTTCTTTGGTCGAGTAGTTGGTTTTCACTCCATGTGCTAATGAAGATTCTTTCACGCAGCTGTTAGGAGTGACTGAAGTCTTGATTTATTATTTTTTGTGATTGTGTAATTTATGATGCTGGGCCTTGAAACTATCTTCAGCATTAATGGAATTTTGGTAGCACAGTTCGTTAGAGCACACTAGATATAGGATTTTTGGAGGAAACATTAGTTTTCTTGTACATATTCTCTTTATTTTTCAATGTTAGGATCTTGCATAATTCTTCATTTATATTATTTTATCAACCAGTCTGTTAGTAATAGTTTGTATCCTGATATACTCTAGTAATTCTATAAGCCTTCCTTGAGCCTGTATGAAAAAATCTTCTCTAGTTTTGTTGTGAGCTATTTCCTATTTTGCTTCAAATTATTGAGTTTGTGGACAGTAACATAGCTGCCTGTTTATGCAAATGCATTTATGATTTGCAGGGAATTAATGGTCTATTAGATTTATAATATTGGTAAGTGTTTCAATTCGATCTGCAGTTGCCATAATAGTTGATTTTTGAGTATTGAAACACCGGAGAATTTTTTGATTAAGTGGCACTTAGTCTGACCTTGTTGTGGTCCTAATTTAATATTTTTCACCTGTTTGATTATAGAGATGGGTCAAGCTGGTTTGCCTTTGTGTTGTTGCAGGTAATTGTTGTTGTCCTTATTTGTAGAAATTATGAATGTCTCTGTTTATTTCTGCTTATTTCCAGCAAATTCTTATCATTATGCTCTGTTGCTGCAAGTTACGGGTGAAAATGCTGTGCTTGGGATGAATATGTGAGCTATTATATATAGGCGTATCATTGACTTGCTGGCACGTTATTAAGATACTATTAGGGTTTCGATGGACCGTATTGCGTCCAACTATGGCCCAATATGACCTCCATATGTTGTCTAAAAGGAAATGTTCATCTCCGGTGTCAGACTACCAGGACTACATCTGGCCTAATTAGTGGCCCTACATTATATCTAATGTAGCTAAGAATACGTTCCGCAAGGACCTGTTATAAATTCCGGCAGTCGGGCCCGGTACTATTAAGGATTCAATGAGGCCGTCTACTCGCAAAAATTAGCTCATTGAACCCTCATGTAACCTAGTAATTGGCCCAAAAAGGTTTATGACCCAATTATTTTCTGGCGGGCCATATTATGCCTAATTATTACGTCAGAGGCCTGCTTATAGCCCAATTATAATTGGCCCAGCCAATTATAGGCCCAAATGGTCCCTACGTATTCACATTGCTCGCCTCCAGTTGGCCCAACTATGGCCCAAAATGAGAAATGAATCCAAACGTAGGCTCAATTGTGTGCCAATAAGGCCCAATTCTGGCCAAGTTATCGGCCCAATTTTGCCCCAAAGATGTAAAAGAGGCCCAAATTCGGCCCAAAGAGGTAAAAATTGCCCAATTATTCACCCAACTTGGCCCAAATAGTAAAATTGACCCAATAATCGGCCCAATTAGAAGCCCAACTTTGGCCCAAGAAGTAAAATTGGCACATTTTAGGCCCAATTAACGGCCCAACTCTGGCCCAAGTAGGTACCATCCGCCCAGTAACAGGCCCAGTTTTCGACCCAACTTGGGCCCAAACTTTAAAGTTAGCCCAGTTAGTGGCCCAACTTTGGCCCAAAGAGGTATGCAATAGGCCCAACTTCGGCCCAAATAGGCCAGATTGACCCACTAATAAGCCCAATTATCGACCGAACTTGGCCCAAAAGGTGGAGTTGGCCCAAGTAAGGCCCATGGACGTAAAATTTGCCCAGTAATAGGCCCAATTAGTGGCCCACTTAGGCCCAAAGACAAAAATTAACCCAATAATAGGCCCAATTAGTGGCCCAACTTAGGCCCAGGCTTAAAATTGGCCAGTAATCGGCCCAATTATCGGCCCTAAGACGTAGAATTACCCCACTTATCAGCCCCCCTTCCACCCAAAGAGGTATAACTGGCTCAATATTGGCCCAACTGTAGCCCAAAGAGGAGAAATTGGCCTACTAATAGGCCCACAATTCTAGCCCCAATTTTCCCTAATAGGCCAGTGCAGACCGAATAATGGTCCCAAATAAGAAATGAGCCCATTACATAGGAAAGTATGCCATTGCCCAGTATAGACCCAATTCTCAGTTATAGGCCCAATGATACCCACGAGACCAGTTATCGTACCTACTTGTACGACCCAAAAGAAGAAATGGGTTAATAGTGGCCCAGTTAACACCAGAGGCCCAAATACAGACCCACTTTTGGCTCAATTACCCACAATACGGGAACATGCATTCGCCCAAACAACAAATCTGATCCGATTGCGTATCTAACAATGAGAATTTTGGCCCAATTATAAGGCCTGTAAATCTAGCCTGTAAACCTTAGCCGTCATGCTCAGTACGATTATTTGTCTTTGGACCCTACACGGGCCCTTAGAATCAACTACTACAGGTAATCAAGCCTAACCATGCACAAATAGAACCCATAAAACGCAAATGTCCAGCCCTATTAAACAACACCCACGAATTACAGAGAGAGAACAATAAAACAATAGTATTCAAATGTACACTACTCAAACGAAAGGAATTACTGTTAACGGATAAAAAACAATGCTTTCTGTACAAGTCATTGACGCGCGGTAAATTCACGGTAGTCCAGCATAAGCAGCAGCATCATCAGGGTGGCAGTGCATTAGTTATCAATACATGATCCCACGAAACCTCATATAACATTGCAATAATTGGGCCCTATGGTAATACCACCAACATTCAAAAGAGAATTTCCACCAAAATAACATAGGTTGTATGCACAACTATTGTGTTTGAGTAACTATGTACACGAAGTATCAGATGATGCAGTTCCAGTATTATCTGTTTTTCTGTTGAGCCTGTGCAGTACTTCCTAATGCTAGAAAATACCATCGAAGAAGCAACTAAACCATTGGATGATGTTATCAAATAGCAATCAATATCTGCTTAAATAAACCAAGTACACAACAATATCATTC